AGGATAGCAAGGGGCGAGAGAGACTCTCCATCCATTTTCTATGTCTATTTTAGGCTTACTTCAACTAGCTCTCTATCAATTTTTGCTAAATTTGTCTTCCTAAATTCTACCTCTCTATATTTCAAGCTTCCTGTTTCATTTTTACTTCATCAGCCTTCCAAATAGAATGTGGAAAAATAAAGAGCTCCTTTATTGGATTCAGTGGTGGGAGCTTGTGAAATGTATGGCTTTTGGTGGTTTGGTTTTTGTTGATGTTGCTGTGACGGTTTCTGTTGGTATTTGTGGCCCAAAGGATATGTTTATTGATGGCCCAAATATCCAAATTCTCTAGCCCAATCTCTTCGGCCTGAGCCCGGTTTGGCAGCCCATTATGATCTAAAGTGATCTCGACCGTTCGTATTTAAATTGCTTGATCTTGGCCATTAATTTCTTTCTTTAGTTGAACTGCTACCCTAAGAGTTTAAAGACTCCCCCTCACAGCCATCACTATCCTCCTTTAACAAACTTGAGAAGTTTCAGGAAATTCAAAGTGTGAGTTATGTTTGAGTGTAGCAATTAGGAGTTTTAGAAACCACTATAAGAAGACCTATGAGTAATTTAATTATCCAAAAAAAAAAAAGCAGCATTTCAAAATCCCGATCCTATTTGCTCTCAGTTCTCTCGCTTTCTCTTACTCTTTTTTCCAACTTGGTGTCTAGTGATAAATCCTCTCTTTTCTTGTTGAATCTTTGTGATTATGAGATTGTGAGTGAGTGTGTGAGCCGAGTGTGTGAGATTGTGAGTGCGTGTATGAGCTGAGTGTGTGAGCTGAGTTAGGTTGTGAGGGATTTTGGGGGTTTTTGTGAGCGGGCTGCTTTCGGGCCAAGTTTGGTGCGACGGTATGTGGTGTTACCCTGGGTTTACAGTGCCGGAGTCAATTGAGGCCAAGGGTCCATTGATCGGTTCTTTGTCGGCTATTCGGTGACTCATTTTGTGGGCTTGACGAAAGGGGACTGAGCCTGTTCGTTCTAAACCCACCATCGTGGAATCGGTGATATTCGGGCTCCCGTACGAGCACTACGAGAAGGGTGTAGTCGTTCCATTTATGCATTATTTATTTTCAGCATTTTCAGTTTGTTTATGCTCTTTGATTGCTAAAATTTATCCGTTTATTGTCAATTTTCGGTTTCAGCCTGAGACGGACAAATCGGGACTTGTTCGGGCTCGAAAGGTTGCTGTTTGGGGCCAACACGAAGCAGTTCGGATCCTATCGGGGCTTTCCGAGACCTGCTGAGAGCTGTCCGGGCCTGCTGGGAGCTGTCGGGACGAACCAACGGCTGTTCGGGACTGTTCGGGGCCAGCCCGGGCCCGGCTAGTCGAGCCAGACGACCACCCAACAGTGGTATCAGAACCTGGCTCTTACCAGGTCGTCTGCTCGCCGCCACTGGTTAGTCGAGTTCCTTTTCTTAGGGCTCGCTCAGGTAAATTGGCTTAAACCCACCTTTTTACCTCTTTCGTAGTCGTAACCCCTGGCTGGGGATTGCTTGTTGGGAACGTAAAATCTAGGATCTTTGTGATTTGTGTGATTTACCGTTTTGCTGGAGGTTCCAGCTGCATGCTTTTGTGATTTATCGTTTTTGAAGTGTTATTCCTCTGTACTTTGTTCGCTCTATGTAACTTGCTGTGTGGTATTGTTACTGTGCGTTTTGTATCTTCGTGATACTCTGGCTATTTGGCGCATTTTCCTGTGTATTTTGCTTTGTGTGATTTTCTGTGCAAAAACTTGTGTG